TCTAAAAACCACCAATCTACTCACTCTTGGTACAATGTTATCATTTCAAAGTGTTTCATAGAATATAAAAATATCTGCATAGGCAAATGTTAGAGTAGATCATTCTGGGAGCTGGTTTTCAGGGTGACTACAATATACACTGTGGAAAATAAGCTGAACCAAAAACAGAATCTTCAAGGTGGAAAAAGAATCTTGGGTCAAAGAGTTAAATATAAAGCCAAACTATAAAACTACTGGTAGAAAACTCTTGAAATCATTGAAGTAGGCAAAGATTGCTAAATTAAGACTCTTAAAGCACAGGCTTAATCCCACGAATAGACAAATGGGATTATATCAAGCTAAAAAGCTTCTTCACAGCAAAGAAAGCAATTACAGTGAAAAGACAACTCTCAGAATGGGAGAAATATTTGAACGTTATTTCTCAGGCAAGGGATTGATAATCATATTATATAGGGAACTCAAGTAGATCACCCACTAAAAATGAATAATCCAATTAAACATGAGTAAATTGGGGGCAGCAGGTCACATGGTGGTAAAGGCACTGGACTCTCACTTGGCCTGCAGTGGTTCAACTCACGGACTTGGCAGCTTGCTTTCTCACTCACCCTCTCTTGCTTCTCTGTCCCTCTCTGGTAAATAAATGAATCACAATAAATAAAAATGCATAAATAAATCTGAAAAATGGGTAAATAAACTGAATAGACAGCTCTCCAAGGAAGATTCACAAATGGCCAAAAGGCATATGAAAAATGTTCAAAATCTATTATCAAAAGAGAAATTCATATTAAAACCACAGTGAGATACCATTTAACCTCAGTTAGAACTGCTAGGATGAAAAAAAAGTAAAGAACAACACGTGTTTGCAAGGCTGTGGTGAAAAGAGAACACCCTTACATTGTTGTTGGGAATGCATATTTGTACAAACTCTGTGTGAAATGATGTATAGGTTCCTAAACACACACACACACACACACACACACACACACACAACTACCGCGTGATCCAGTAACCCCATTTCTTGGTGTTTATACTCAAAGGATAGGAAGACACTCAGTTGGAAAGACACATTCATGCTTGTAGTTGCACTATTTACAATGGTTAATACATGAAATCAACCTAGGTGTCCAAAAACTGATGACTGGGTTGAAAAATGGTGGCACATAGATACTATGGAACATTACTCTGCCATAAGAAACAATGACACTCCTACTGTTTGATTAAAAGTGAATACAATGTCAAATAGAACAGAGATGGAAGAGAAGAGAGACAATAAACTGCTGAAGAGGAAGGAGAAAGGAGTTGAAGAGTTCCAGGAGGTGAGAAAATTCATGCAAGATCTAAAAGAAGAATTTCACACTTTACAAAAGAATCAGATGGAACTGTTAGAGATGAAGGCTATAATACAAGAAGTCAAAATCTCCCTTGAAAGTATTAAAAACAGACTGGATCATACAGAAAATAAAATCTCAGACGTAGAAGAGAAAATTACTGGCCTAGAAAAATCCACCACGAAGACTGAGAAAATGGCCCCAAAATTTGAGAATAATATATGAGAAATACTAGATACAATCAAATGTCCAAACATCCAGATAAAAGCATCCCAGAAGGCGAAGAGACCCATAAGGGTATTGATAATCTATTCCATGAAATCCTTCAAGAAAACCTTCTAAACCTAGAGAGTCACTCAAAGATTCAGTCCCACGAAATACAGAGGATCCCAAGTAAAATCAACCCAAGAAGATCTTCTCCAAGACACATCATAGCCAGATTGACCAAAACCACAGACAAAGACAAGATACTAAGACTGGCAAGAGAAAAAAGGCAAGTTACCTACAAAGGGTATCCCATCAGACTAACGGCAGACGTCTCATCGGAAACAATGCAAGTGAGGAAAGAATGGGAAAATATATTCAACATGTTAAGGGAAAAGCAATTTCAACTGAGAATTCTGTACCCAGCAAGGTTATCGTTCATTTGGGAAGAAAAGACACGAACTTTCCCAGATAAACAAAACCTGAAAGAATTTACCAGCACCAGACCGGATCTCCAAGAAGTTCTTAAGGGAGTGCTATGTCAGTAAAATTAAATGCAGACACACAGAAATAAGAGTTCAGAAACTAAGAAAATGGGCAACTTAATTGTAGGGCCAAAAGCTGGAGTTGAGTATTACATCCCAGATTTCAATCTGGAACATCGAACCTCAACAGATACAGAAGAAAGATTAAGTACATGAGACTGAACTGATGAAACAGTATTCTACGACTTGACTAAAATATTGCTGCTTTTCTTCTAAGCTTTGTTGTCTGGTTTTAAGGACTTTTGTCCTGTCTTCAGCTATCAATAGATTCATGTTCCGACTATTTGAACAGAATACTAACCTGTTTCTAGGCTTTAAGTTTCAAAGAAATATCCTTACCAGTTCAAAACTGCTTTTCTTGAAACCATCGGCTGATCTTGCTATTGAAAGTAGTTAGATTACTTATGATATTGTGTGACCAACGAAATGTTGGGGGAAAAGGGATTGAAGACAACTGTAGACAGCAGAGATAGTGTAATAAGAGAGTGGAATAGGGCAGAGGGCTAGACATGGGGTAAAAAAACATATATATGAAAGTAGAAATGGAATATTATGGATGATAACATGCATTATTAAGCCACTATATAGTATATTCTAGATGGGAAACCACATTTAGAATGTTGGGATGATGCTCAGGGAATGAATGTAAATTAACAAAAAAAAATTTCAGAAGAAAAAAAAAGGCATTAGAAATACCTATTTGATGACTGCAGTTAAGCTATATAGCCCTAGTTAGGTGCTACGTTATAGTATGTTCATTCTATTCACTGAGGTTTATGCCTAAAGTCAGTCTTGTGTTCATGGATATGTACATATCAGCTGTGCTTGCTATTGAAAATATTTAGATTTATTAAGATATTTAGTGAAACAATAAAATGGGGGAGGCATAGAAAGCAACAATAGATACCAGACACAGTGTGGGAGGAGGGTGGGAGATGGCAGAGGGTGAGATAGGGAATCAAGGATGGGAAAAAAGGCAAAATATACAGAAAACAAGAAATGGAAAATGATTTGTTGACAATAACACATATGTTGATGTGCTTGATTGAGCCAATATGCAGTGTATTTTGGATGGAAAATTCATTTTGCATGTTGTAATGATGTATAGTGAATTAATGTAAGAAAAATAAATTTAAAGAAAAAAATAATTAACCAGACATTCTTTCATTATTGCACCCAAGTAAAAAGATGAAAGGTGTTAACCCTAGAAGGGCTTATAAATAAAAATATTTGTATACCAAAAAAAAATTTTTTGAACTGAATAATAAAAATAAATATTAAAATTTGTGAAAAAAAGTGAATAGACTTAATATTAACCAAAGCGAGACAAACTTTGAAAGAGATACACTGCATATCCCCACCAACATAAACAAAAAGTCTGTACTCTATTACAGAAGTAGAAAATCCAAATATATGATAGTAGAGAGGATAAGTGTAGGTACCAGAGACTGTAAGAGAGGGAAGTGAGTGGTTGAAAGTGGGTGGAAGGAAAAAAGAGAAGGAATGATTAACATACAAAAGATTATAAAGTTCTGTTAATTTATTTTTGTTTTAAAATATAAAATAAAATAAAATAAAATACTTTGACCAGTTATAAAACACACTAGATGCCAAAAGTCCACATTATCAACAAGAGCAGTTAATGTCCTAATATATGATGGAATGATGAACACCAAAAGTGAAAAACTGTGGTCTCAAATGTATTCCTCCCTCAAAGGATTTAAGTGTTTTTACTTTCTAAGCAGTTTTTTTGTTTTGTTTTGTTTTGTTTTCCAGAAAGGAGTACAACTCAGTACTGTAACTTCAGTAAAACAAAAGAAATAATACTCACTATGACCTATGCCACTTGAGTAGAAATAGCTCCTATGAAGCCTCCATTGCTCAACAAGAAGACTGAGAACTTACAAATCATTTTGATGAGAGATTGGAAATTACTTAGGGAAAGTTGGAAAATGACAGAGGGAAAGCTGGTGGATATCAGAGAGAGCAGAAATCTTAATTTAAAGGATAACTAAAATTATACAGAGACTTAAATCAGAGGAATGGAAACTCCTGGCACTCATAGAAGGACCAAGTTCTACTCCCAAGATTTGATTAAGAATAAAGAAATTACTTCTGAGGCATTGAGGCTTTCAGTCATGGAGCATATCATATTCCAGAAAAATTGGGCTTTTATAACTGTGGGAGGCTGTGCACCAGTGAGTCTGCTGAGGCCATTTTTCATGAGTCTCTTTTCATGAGTTTGAGACTTTTGAGATTGTTCATTGTCCTGAATATAGGGCGTTAATAAGGATAGCTACTATAAGGATCATTGATGCTGTGGCTTGTGTGATAAAGTACTTAACAGCTGCTTCGGTTGATCGTGGGGTTGTTTTTTTTATTAGAATTGGGATGAAAGCCAGTATATTTATTTCCAATCTTATTCAGGCTATTAATCAGTGCGAGCTTACTATGGTAATTAGTGTCCCTGATAGGATGGTTATGGTGATAGCTAGTGTGATTAACGGGTTGATTAGTACGGGAAGGGTATAAACCAACATTTTCGGGGTATGGGCCCGATAGCTTATTTAGCTGACCTTACTAGAATTTAGTGTATTGGTAGCACGAAGAATTTTGAATTCTTAGGAGTAGGTTCAACTCCTACAGCTCTAGAAATAAGAGGGTTTGCACCTCTATTCTTTACTCTATCAAAGTAACTCTTTTATCAGACATATTTCTATGTTTGTGGTGGGATGCTTGATAGTGAGATTGGCATCGATATGTATAATATGCATATGGCTAGTGTTAGTGGTAGGAAGCTTTTTCATAGTACGTGCATAAGTTGGTCGTATTGGAAGCGAGGGTAGGATGCTCGAATTCATAAAAATACAATTGTTAATAGTAGTGTCTTGATTGTGAAATTAATAGTGTATAGTTCTGGTACTGAGTTGTCGTGGAAAGGTCCGAGGAAAATTGTTGTTGTTAAGGCATTTATTATAATGATATTCATATATTCTGCTATGAAGAACAGGGCAAATGGACCTGCTGCGTATTCTACGTTAAACCCTGATACTAGTTCTGACTCCCCTTCTGCTAAATCAAATGGTGCTCGATTGGTTTCAGCTAAAGTGGAGATAAATCATATTATGGCTAAGGGTCATGTTGGAATAATTAATCATATGTACTCTTGTGTTGTGATTAGCGTTGATAGGGTGAATGACCCGCTTATTAGTAATACGCACAGGAGGATAATAGCTAAAGTGACTTCATATGAGATTGTTTGGGCTACTGCCCGCAGGGCTCCAATTAAAGCGTATTTTGAGTTTGAAGCTCATCCTGATCATAGAATGGAGTAGACACCTAGGCTTGATATAGCTAGAATAAATAATATCCCTATGTTCAAGTTGATTAGCGGGTGTGGTATAGGTATGGGGATTCATATGGATAATGCCAGGCTGAGGGCTAGGATTGGTGCTGTAATAAACAGTATTGAAGAGGATGTTAGGGGTCGTAGGGGTTCTTTAATAAATAGTTTTGTGGCGTCTGCAAATGGTTGTAATAGTCCGAACGGGCCTACTACGTTTGGGCCCTTACGTAGTTGTATGTAGCCTAAAACTTTTCGCTCTACCAGTGTTAGGAATGCTATGGCCAGGATTACGGGCAGGATCAGTAGGAGTAGGTTAATCTCACGTAGGACTTTAATCGTTGAACAAACGAACCATTAATAGCGGTTGCACCATTGGGATGTCCTGATCCAACATCGAGGTCGTAAACCCTATTGTCGATATGGACTCTAAAATAGGATTGCGCTGTTATCCCTAGGGTAACTGGTTCCATTGATCAACTTGTTGGATCAATTAGTTGCTGTAATGCTTCGACTTGTTATGTCTTGGCTAATTCGTTTCGGAGGATTTTTTGTTCTCCGAGGTCACCCCAACCGAAATTGCTAACTCAGGATATGTTGTTTATTCTCTGTCGAGTTTGATTTGTTATATGTGAGTTAGTTAATTAAAGCTCCATAGGGTCTTCTCGTCTTATTTTTATATCCCCGCCTCTTCACGGGGAGGTCAATTTCACTGATTGAGAGTAAGAGACAGTTAAACCCTCGTGTGGCCATTCATACAAGTCCCTATTTAAGGAACAAATGATTATGCTACCTTTGCACGGTCAGGATACCGCGGCCGTTTAACTTATGTCACTGGGCAGGCAGTGCCTCTAATACTTTTTATGCTAGAGGTGATGTTTTTGGTAAACAGGCGGGGTTTGTGTTTGCCGAGTTCCTTTTACTCTTTTTAATCTTTCCCTTAAGGTTTGTGCACTCCGGTGTTGGGTCAACAATTTATAAAATAAGTACTCTTGAGTTTGGTTTGTGTCTTATTATATTGTTAACTATCAGTGGGCATCCGATCTGATATAGGCTTTTGCGGGGGGGATTACTTCTTGTTACTAATACTAGCAGTATCTCATCCACATGCGTGTGGATTGGTCCAGTTGGGGTTTAGGAGTTAGCAGTTGATTGCGGTATTATTATAAGTGTTTACTGTCGAGCTTGAACGCTTTCTCAATTGGTGGCTGCTTTTAGGCCAACTATGGGTTAATTATTTTTTACTCTCTAATCAAGGTTTTTCCTAGTTCTAAGGAGCTGTACCCCCTTAGAATAACATTTAAGCATACATTAAGATTTAGGTTTCTTTAGGTAGTACTTAAAGTTGAACTAATATTCTGTTCTGGACAACCAGCTATCACCAGGCTCGATTGGCTTTTCACCTCTACTTACAAGTCACTTCACTATTTTGCGACACAGATGAATTTGCTCTATTAGCTGCTCGTAAGTAGCTCGTCTGGTTTCGGGGTGCCTAACTAAAGTTCTCTTTGCTAGGTGTATTCTGGCTAGTTCATTATGCAAAAGGTACAAGGGCTAATCTTTGCTTTTTTACACTGTTGTTGCATCTTTCATCTTTCCCTTGCGGTACTATCTCTATAGCGCCTTAGTTAAGTTTCTATCTCCTATACTTCTATGTATGTGTTAAATGCTTTAGCTTAGATTTTAGTTATTGTTGTGTTTATATTTGTTTGGGCTAGAGTCAGTTCAAAACGATCGTTGTACGATATCTCCTGGGTGTAGGCCAGGTGCTTTGGATTAAGCTACGGTTTGGTTTTATTCCAAGTGCACTTTCCAGTACACTTACCTTGTTACGACTTATCTCCTCTTGTGTGTATATGGGTAATTATGTAGTTGTGATTAGTAGTAGTTGAGGAGGGTGACGGGCGGTGTGTGCGTGCTTTATGGCCTAATTCAGTCGGACTCTCTATTTCCGACTTACTGCTAAATCCTCCTTAGACTCATAGTTTCATGTGAGTTGGCGTTGTATTCTGGACTAGAAAATGTAGCCCATAACTTCCCACCCCATAGGCTACACCTTGACCTAACTTTTTTATGTAGGATGATTGAGCTTACTTGTCGTCCTTTTTAGGGTTTGCTGAAGATGGCGGTATATAGGCTGAATTAGCAAGGGATGGTGAGGTATATCGGGGTTTATCGATTACAGGACAGGCTCCTCTAGATGGATATAAAGCACCGCCAAGTCCTTTGAGTTTTGGGCTGTGGCACGTAGTTCTCTGGCGAGTAATTTTGTTATTTAATTACCTGGGTTTACAATTAAGCATAGTGGGGTATCTAATTCCAGTTTGGGTCTTAATTGTCGTGTAGTCTGAGTTTATAAAGTTACTTTCGTCACTGTTCTTAGTGGGCCTGTGCCCACTATTGCCATCTTAGGCTCAGAGAGCAAACAATTACAAAGGCTCCCCTTAAAAAAATCTCACCTTCAACACCACACTCTGATTGGCCACTTCACATAGCAAATCGGTGAGCTTAGAATCCCTCAGATTTGCATATCCGGGTACCTCATGATTGGTCCACAAAGCAACCAATCATAACCTACCTTTTGCTATCCTTCATTCAACCAATCACGGCCCACCAATGTGTATATAAGCACGATCTCTGGCCCATAATCGCCAGACGACCAGGAAGACGACAACGACGACCAGGAAGACAACGACTGAAGAGCCTGAAGAGCTGAAACACCGTGTAGTCTCCAGACGACCCTGAAGATCCTGAAGAGCTGACACTGCATCATCTCCAGACAACCTGGGAGACCCTGAAGAGCTGTAACACTACATAGTCTCCGGATGACCCTGAAGAGCTGTGACACTGCGTCGTCTCTGTGCTGTACTGTGCTGCCCATAATAAACGGACGACACTGTCGTCTCCATGCTGTAACACTCTGCCGCTTGTCCCAGCTCTCACTCCTTCACTCAGGAAACCTGTTCGGATGTCTCCCCGGGTCGGGACATATAACTTTCCTCTAAATAATTTTTTTAGGTCCCTCTTTATGTCCTTATTCCTCAGACTGTAGATAAAGGGGTTCAGCATGGGGGTGAAAACACTGTACATCACCAAGGCTGCTGCACTTGAGTGTGACCTGTGGGTAGCACCAGAACTAAGGTACACACCAAGGCCTGTACAATAAAATAAGGAGACAACTGAGAGGTGAGAAGCACAGGTGGAAAATGCTTGGTACTTCCCCTGAGTTGATGAGATTGCACAAATAGAAAAAATGATCTTAGAGTAAGAGTAAAAGATCCCAGTGAGGGGACCACCATCCAGCAGCACAGATCCAAAATAGATCACCATGTCATTAGAAAAGGTCTCAGAACAGTCAAGGTAGATCACCTGATCAAATTCACAGAAAAAGTGGGGGATTTCAACATGTGTACAGAAGGACAGCCTCAATGCCATTAGGCTATGTAATAAAGCATACGGGACACTCATGGTCCATGAAGCCAGAACCAGTTGTCTACAGAGCCAGGAGTTCATGATGACAGTGTAGTGCAGAGGGTGACAGATGGCCACATACCTGTCATAGGCCATCACAGTCAGGAGAAAGTCATCTACCTCTCCAAAGAGTATGAAAAAGAACATCTGGGTGATGCAGCCTGCATAGGTGATGACCTTGCTCTGTGTCTGGATGTTCACCAGCATCTTTGGGACAGTGGTGGAGGTGAAACAGATGTCAGCTAAGGACAGGTTGGAGAGGAAGAAGTACATGGGGGTGTGCAGGTGGGAGTCTGAGATTGTGGCCAAAATGATGAGCAGGTTTCCACACACAGTGATCAGGTACATGGAGATGAAAAGCCCAAGTATGAGCAGCTGCAATTCTGGTGCCTCTGAAAACCCCAAAAGAAGAAATTCTGAAATCTGTGTATCATTTCCTGGTTCCATGGGGACTCCCCGAAGAATAAAATAAGATGGCTAATTTCACACGGACTGGTATGACTCACAGAGAGTTGAACTGCCATAAATATTTTGCAGTCACAAAGTTATATTTCATACTTTCACGGATCTAATCTGCTAGAGGCTTTCATAATGCCATCTCTGTTTGGACTTCTTATCTCACCTCTTTATTAACATAGATTATGTATTCTGCATCATTTTTTACTTATGTATTTATTGACAATAAATAATAATACATATTTGTGGAGTAGAATATGATGTTGCAATAGGATTTTATTAGTTTGTTGTTTTTGTATTGTTTTAGTTTTTCTACTGGGCACATGCACACACCAGATAGAGAAACAGAGAGAGAGAGGGAAAGTGAGAAATAACCCCCCAATGAGGAATGGCCTTTCCACAATACTCTCTTCTCTCAGGATTCTGGGAGTACATGTACACATGCCTGACATTTTTTTCAAGCTGCCCAGTCTGGAACTTTAACTGGCAGTCAAACATGTGCAACCAAGTCACATTAACCATTACACCATCAAGTGACCCAATAACTGTATCTTTATATCCACTTAAAACAACTCTGAGGCCAGCAGGTGGCATGGTGGGTAAGGTGCTAGACTCCCACATGGCCAATTTTGGTTCAAGTCCCAGACCTGGTGCCTTGCTTTCTCATTCTCTCTCTCTCTTTCTCTGTTTCTATCTGGTCAAGCACATATGCTCCATAGCAAAAAAAGAAAAGAAAAGAAAGAGTTAGAAGTATAAAAAAAGGAAAACAACTCTGTTTCCCCTAATCCCCAACTCCCTGTCAACCACCACACCGTCATCTGTTTCTATGACTTTGACTACTTCAGATACCGTAGGTAAGTGGAATTACTCAGTATTTTATTTCAAAAGTATTCAGTGGACTGATGTCCTTATTTTTCTTTGTTGATTTGTATTCAGATAACTGTATTTTAACATCATAGTCTGAGGGGTTAGCAGGTGTCATAATGATAAAGGTGTTGGATCCCAATATGACTGACTGTGGTTCAAGTCCTGAAACCAGTTGCTTGGAAATCACACTGGACAAGAGTATATGTGTGCCAAAAATCTCAAAAAGAAAATGGAGGAGTAAGAATTTCAGTGTGCACATCCCCCGGGGGTATGATTTCTCACTTTCCCTCTCTTTGTCTCTCTCTCACAGGTGAGCAAATGTGCCCTATGGCTATAAAGAGAAAATGGAATGTATGTTTACTACTGATGTAGAATTATTCTAAGTTAATAAAAAATATCGAGTGGGTGGGTGTGTACACAATATGATGACCCATTAGATTTGATAACAGAAAACTATTAATTTTTCACATTCACCCAATATATATCTATATCAATCAATACATAAAATAATTCAATGTTATTCTGAAATTTTTATTTTAAAACTTCAATTAATTATTAAAAGAAAAAAATCAAAAGAATCAAATATATTCCAACTCCAGAATATAAAAACAAAAAGCTTGCATGATTTCCAGTCAAATAAAAAGCTAATAGATTCACAAACTTATGCAATTATAACAGCAAGAAAATGGTTGTAAGTAAAAACTCTTTAATATTCTCATTTTGACTTCAATTAAATTTTTCTTAGGTCAATACCTAATGTGAAAGAAGAAACTGTGAAATGTATGTTTCATGAACTACAGTTGCAAGGTATGAATTGCAAGCAATCTATTCATCTGGATCCTTCAAAAAAATACAGAAATATGCACAAATACACTTGCTTCAAAAATTCCTTAACAGATCTGAAAGTCACTGCATATCTCATCACAGCTCTGATTCTACTTCTCCTACTTCTTTAACTGAAAATTTCTGTGCATGTGTTCTAATTTGACTGAAATTATTTTATTTCTCCCATTCCTTCTTCACCCTCATCCAACTGGAAGTCTATTTCCATCACTCAATTGTCCATGATGATGATTGCATTGCTAAGTTTGACAGACACATGACTTCTTAATATATTGAATAAATTAATGATAAATAATTTGATCAGACAACACATAAATCTCTCAGCTCTTGCTAGGCTGGTTTGACCCTCAGCTGATCTAAAGTAGATATCTTTAGCATCTATTCTCTCTGACCCATTCCTGTGGTACCTATCAGGCTCTTGGGCTCACCTGCATGGAATCTCAGAGAGGACAATCTTCTTGTGGAAGGGTGAATTCCTCCCCGAATGGTTGGTCATGGAGACTGCAGTTCTGTCTCTAAACAAGATATGATGAAAGAATTAAGCATGGAAAACTAACCTGTCTGGAGATTCCAGAAAAATCAACCATGTCCTGCCCAGCCCAAGAGACTTGAGAGACAATGACAGATGAAATATTTACAGCTCCCTAGATCTGCTCATTAGGTACATTTCCTCCTTATAACTACAACCTCTTAGTAGCTTATTTCCCTCATGGACACTGGTCTGGAAAGAAAATAACATTTTCTTCCTGATTTGCTGCTCTCAAGAGACCAGGATAAAAGTGTAAAGAATTCAGTCTTTATTACATGTTTTCTGTGAACTCTCCTGCCTCCAAAGGTCATTAGCACCTTTTACCAACTGTTGAATTAAAATTTGTCACAGGTCAGCATCCAGCATGGAGGTTAAGGTGTTGGATACCATTTGGCTGAATGCACAGTTCAATTCCTGGACCTGGTGGTTTGAACATCAAGCTAGGAAATGTGCATATGTGTCCAAAATCCTGACAGGAGACTGCAAGAGAAGGAAATGCAGTATGGCCATGCCCATGGAAGGTGATTTCTCATTTACCTTCTCTCTCTTTTTTTCTCCATCTCTGTCAGGGCATGTGCCCTACAGCAAAAACTAACAAAAAAATATTCTCACATACCGCTTGCATATGTCTTGAAAAATATTGTGTACTATAGAAATGTACAATGATGGAATGTAAATAACAAATTATAAAATAAAATAAATTTTTTCCAAATCTGAGGAATTTGAGCTTACTAACACTTTGGATTTCCAAAGCAGACTCGTGGTGGAGACACAACTATTTATATCTCCAGAAACTGATTGCATTACCTCTTCAACAAAAGAGAGAACCGTGTTCACATGCTACAAAACGAGATGTAGTTACTACAGTCCTTGGTTTCATAATGTTTTTGACAAAACATTTGGGATTTTTATACTCATAGCATGCATTAAGATTTGTCATTTAGGGGCTAGCAGTTGGTATGCTGTTTGAGGGGCTAGACTCACACATGGTTGACTGCAGTTTGAATCCTGAACCCAGCAACTTGAAAATCATGCCAGGCAAGTGGACCTGTGTACCCTAAATCCCAAGAAGACATAAAGGAGAAGGGATTGCAGCATGACCATCTCCTGTGTGGGGTCATTTCTCACTTTTCCTCTCTGTGTTTTTCTCTATTTCTCTCCTGCAAGCATATGCATTCTATCACAAAAATCTTTTAAATATCATTTTTTAAATTTTTTAAATTGTCATTTAGTCTTTCATTTATGTAGCACTGAGTAATTACAAATGATATATGTCAATCTCTTTATGTTCAATGGACTGGTTAGAAACTTATACAGTATGTCTTATTTAATCCTTACATAATACCACTCTACTACAACACACTATTAGTGAATTCATGATACACTGCAGAAATGGGACTCAGGACAGTTTAATAATGAACTGAGTAAGGATGGAGTTTTGATAGAAACTTCATCAAGATGTATTCAGGTCTTAGGTTGTAGGAATGGGACAAAAGGAAAAAAAAA